TGCCCACGCGACCCACCCTTGTAAATCTCCTTCCCAAATCGGAACTGCTGCGCGGACGACAACAGTATGCACGACAGATGAACGATGCGGGATCAAACGGTCTGCTGGACTCTGCTACATGCATGGACGGACAGGGATCTGTTGTCGTGCATGAATCGTGCGCACAGCATCGTGTGTGTAGCACTGCTCTTCCCAAATCTCACTCGCCAGAACCCCACTCCCCGATACCAGTCGCGGTCAGCATACCCCGCCCGCCCGCCGAGGAAGAGGCATTGTGAGGCCGGGCACGGCGGCGGCAAGGAGCAGCCACGGCGCCAGGAATGAAGGGGGGCGGCGGCGGCGGCGGCGGCAAGGAGTCCGCCACCGGCTCCTTCCTCCGCTTCCTCCTCCTGCTCCTCCTCCCCCTCACCGCCCTCTACTTCTTCTACACGCTCCACCTCCTCCTCGCCTCCGCCGCCTCCTCGTCCACCGCGTCCTGCCCGCCGGACCCCACCGCGGTCTCCTCCCGCGTCTCCACCAACCGCACCGCTGCGGCGGTGGCCGACAGTAAGGCCGCCCCCGCGGCGTCCGCGGCGACGACGCTGCAGCACGTGGTGTTCGGCATCGCGGCCTCGTCGCGGTTCTGGGACAAGCGCAAGGAGTACATCAAGGTGTGGTGGCGCCCGCGCGGCGCCATGCGCGGCTACGTCTGGCTGGACCGCGAGGTGCGGGAGTCCAACATGTCGACGGCGCGGACGGGGCTCCCGGCCATCAAGATCTCCTCCGACACCTCCGCCTTCCCCTACACGCACCGGCGCGGCCACCGCTCCGCCATCCGCATCTCCCGCATCGTCTCCGAGACCTTCCGCCTCGGCCTCCCCGGCGTGCGCTGGTTCGTCATGGGCGACGACGACACCGTCTTCTTCCCGGACAACCTGCTCACCGTCCTCAACAAGTTCGACCACCGCCAGCCCTACTACATCGGCTCCCTCTCCGAGAGCCACCTGCAGAACATCTACTTCTCCTACGGGATGGCGTACGGCGGCGGCGGCTTCGCCATCAGCAGGCCGCTGGCGGAGGCGCTCGCGCGGATTCAGGACGGCTGCATCAGCCGCTACCCGGCGCTCTACGGCAGCGACGACCGGATCCAGGCGTGCATGGCGGAGCTGGGGGTGCCGCTCACCAAGCACCCGGGGTTCCACCAGTACGACGTGTACGGGGACCTGCTGGGCCTCCTGGCGGCGCACCCGGTGGCGCCGATCGTGACGCTGCACCACCTGGACGTGGTGCAGCCGCTGTTCCCCAACGCGCCCGCGCGGCCGGCGGCGGTGCGGAGGCTGTTCAGCGGGCCCGTGAGGCTGGACCCGGCGGGGATAATGCAGCAGTCCATCTGCTACGACGGGGCGAACCGGTGGACGGTGTCGGTGGCGTGGGGGTTCGCCGTGCTGGTGTCGAGGGGGGTGACCTCGCCGCGGGAGATGGAGATGCCGGCGCGGACGTTCCTCAACTGGTACCGGCGCGCCGACTACACGGCGTACGCCTTCAACACGCGGCCCCTGGCGCGCACGCCGTGCCACAAGCCGGCCGTGTACTACCTGTCGTCGGCGCGCAGCGCGGAGGCCGCCCGCGGCGGGGAGACAACGGTGACGCGGTACGAGCGGTGGCGCCCCGCGAACGAGACGCGGCCCGCGTGCCGTTGGAACATCACCGACCCGGACGCGCATCTCGACCACATCGTCGTGCTCAAGAGGCCCGACCCCGGGATATGGGACCGGGTAATCCCCTTCGCTCCTTCCCTTAACTCAATTCCTTTTTCAGCATATACACAAATGGCCCAATTGCTAATTAAAAACGAGTATTATACACTAAACTATACAGTCCAAAGATAGGAATGCAATACAAGATAGTTAAAAATTCTAGCAATGGTAGGAGAAGCGTATCCACTGTTAATTGCGTACTAGGTTTGGTTGACTACCTGAGCGAATGTTAGCATACGTACGTTTAATAAAGGATTGCTGATGTGTGTGGAAACACTAGTACTTATATTGCCTTTGGCGAGTTTGTTTACTGATGATGCATGGCTCACATGGATGTTGTGCAGTCGCCGAGGAGGAACTGCTGTAGGGTGCTGTCGTCGCCCAAGGTGGGGAAGGAGGGGAAGAAGACGATGACCATCGACGTGGGCGTGTGCAGGGACGGCGAGTTCAGCCAAGTAGTCTAGGTCTAGCCTAGCCTCTGTTAGGAGAACACTGTAGGACGATACAATATTATTTTTTTCTCTCTTCTTGTATTCTTGCTGGAAGGTATAACAAACGAGAGCCTCGTTCGGTCATCTCCTGCCTGCGTACCTACTACCGTGCTGGTGCTTTGCGCCTCACGGGCCATCACCAGGCACGAGAAGGACTCGAAGCTTTGGCCGGGCTTCCTCTGCACTGCATCGTGCCGCTGCTGCCCCCACAACAGTTGAAGGAGACGTGGCAGGGCATGCATGAACGCATGCCGGTTCGCTGTGCTAAAAGGCGTGTGGGGCTACTGGGATTTGGACTTGGGAAAGCTTTGGTTTCAGCCTTTGGTGGCAAGATCCAGGCGTTCGGCCAACACCCACGCGGGGTGGGATGGCGTGGGGGCTTGTGTTTGTGTGTGAAATTGGGTCAGCGCGTCGGTTTTTACTTCGTTTCTGGCACCCGGCGTGGCTCGCCTCGGCCGTGTCGGGCAAGAGGGGAAAGCACGTCCGGCGACAGCATGTATAGGGATCCGGCTTGGCATGCTTTCTGGCAACAGGGACGACCAAATCTACCAGCCCCATCCGCCCGAGACATAATTAAGGTGATGTGGAGAGTGTTCATTCATTCCTCCGAACCATCAGCAACAGAGCTATAAATGCTCGCCGAGGCCGGTTCAGCAGGTGGCGCACCGGCGCAACCGAAAACCATTTACACTTGTCGGCACGCACATGGCCATGAAAAGGAGGTCGCATGCCAACGTTCTCCCGTGATTCATGTCGCTCCCGATTCCATCCTAGTCCTAGAAACGAGAGCGAAAGGCGTTGCCTAACTCGAGTATTTTATGCCATTCCTGTGGTAATGATTCCCTATGACAAGTCTACAGTGTCAATCGTATACAGTGCTACTACTTGTTTAGGGTCTGTTTGGTTTTCACTCACCCTACCAAAACGTTGTTTGGTTTGTTGCCAAGTACTCCCTCCGTTTTTATTTAGTGTGCATATTAGGTTTGACAGAAGTCAAACTTCATAAAGTTTGACCAACTTTATAGAAAAAATTATAAGCATTTACCATAATAAATCTATATGATGTGTTAGTACATTCAATAATGAATCTAACAGTATTGATTTGTTATTGTATATATTAATATTTTTGTTCATAAACTTAGTCAAAGTTTACAAAGCTTGACTTTGATCAAAGCTAATATGCGGACTAAATAAAAACGGAGGAAGTATTTGGCTGCCAATGAGTCCTTTGTTGAATGGCCAACCCTAGGCGGTGGAATCCCTCGCCAAATAATTGGCAAGGGAGCTACAGGCAAGAACCAGACATACCCTTAATTTCTGACGTACTCAACGGAGTACAAGCAAATTAACAAGCATATGCATAGGACTATAGTAGCCAGATCTAGAAATAAAAGCCGAACGACGCGTGTCAACATGGTCCTCGACACACCGATTCAGGACAAAGGTGTCTATCACGCCTAGACATGCATCAAAACAACACTTGCACGCATGTCGACGTTCCAGCATTTAGAGTTCCAAGGCCAAACGGGATACTCCTTGGCCCTGATGCAGACCTCCGGTGGATCATGCCACCCCATGTGTTTCAAGTTACCACGACTGAACACTGACGAATCATGGTAAACTACTCGCTAAGCAGTACTACTATCAGCGTACGTAGCAAAATGTTGTAACGCAAGACAGTTATATTCTCCGGCAGCGGACGATGTATGTTCGCCAAATTGAGGACAGGCAACAAAAGTCCCACCTTGGTTCCGCAAGAGGTCCCTGCCTTCGCACGCGCACCAAGCAAAATCTCCTCTAACCCTCCGCGTATGTACTCCTCCAGGCTAGCGACGTTCACCTGCCATCGATACAATTCCCTGTCACTTTTTTTTCTTTTTTTTACAAAACTAACTTATTCAAAACTGTAATAAGCAGCCAAACTTCTATTACTAAAGGCTAGAAATGGGGTGAAAATGGTTCATCCAATCAATCACGTTTGCTTAGAATAGTACCGACTGAAAAATGAGCAGCTCACATTACATTACAGGTAAGCTGCGCAGCAAAATATCGACTTACCCTACTTGAGTTTGAGAAAACATCAGAATCAGCAGCACTGTGTGGTGCTTCCAAACTCAACGCCATGTGACTTGATGATCCTGGCAGCTCCTAGAAGAATGTCCTGTTCTGCGTATATCAAGTCGTCCTTTCTCTGAAAGTGTGAAGAGATTCATATCAAACAAAAAGGACGATAAGTATTCTAAACTTGCACCACAGCACCAGTACAGCAGGTTACAGAGCAGCAAAAGTATTGTTCTATATGGCTACGCCCTTGTGGTGAATTGTGGATAATTACAAACTATGAACAACTCTGGGAGATGTTTGCATTACTGTAGAACATCAAACTGCTTAAGCTGGACAGACTGACAGAAAATCGTTTTGTGTTATGTTCATTTCGATGATACACTATTTTGGATCACATTTCTTAGTCTTGTTGCAGCACAACTCCAGAACAGCAACAGATAGCAGCAGCTTACAAGTTGGATTCAACAGAACAGGTTGATACGATGCAACGCAATGTAATATAGTAAGCGTTGATCACCAAATGGATACATAAAATTTCAAGTCACATGTTTTCTTCTACTCTTGACCACTGAGCCATGTCAAAGAGAAAAATGCATGTATAATGGACAAGTGTTGCCAGGTTATCACTATATGACCTTTTATCTGGTGCTACTTTCTTCACCTTATCGCCCAAACAAATGCCTTACTGAAATCCAACGTAATAACTTTGAACGAAATAAATTTAACGCACCATTTTTTGGAGGATGCACCCTATGACAAGCTCTCCATATGAACTTTCCAATCTTGAGAGGTAGCAGTAAGGAGCATCTGTTTCCGAGATAACTTTTGGGTTGGACCTTAACATAGACTTTATCTCCTCTGCTACAGCAGGAACTTTCTCAATATCCTCAAGTTTTATAGGAATCTTGGTCACACTAACTCGCCACTGAGCTCGTGATCTATTCACTATAATCTGCAATTATTCAAAGAATGTCATGAGAGAAGATAGGTCACCCTGACACTGATAATCGCATAACTGGCCAAAATCTAAACAGCATTACTTTTGGCATGCATTGTCATCTTTCAATGATTTGTCATCTTTCTGGGATATTTTAACTAATAAAATGAACAAAAACATTTGAGCAAACTTCTCCTACTCCAAACTTCGTACAGAAGTGAATCACTCAAAGTTGATTTAAATCTCCAAAATTCATGTGTTTTACTCCCCATTACAACTGCAATGAGGCCATATGTACAAAGTTCAACTCAAACAAATCCTGAAGTTTAAAAGAAGGCTGTACCCAGTCTCAGTGCGAAAAGTCCTTGTGGTCTGGGGAAAATCCTGACAAATTAAATTTCAGTAGAAAGTACTCCCTCCATTTCTAAATATAAGCTCTTTTAGATATTCCAATACGGATTACATTACGGAGGTGTATAAACGCATTTTAGAGTGTAGATTCACTCATTTTGCTCCGTATGTAGTCCTTGGAATCTCTAAAAGGGCTTATATTTAGGAACGGAGGGAGTAGTAAGCTTTAGCAATGTAACTGATAACTACTGTAGAGGCTAAGTTCTGAATTTGTCATGCTTGAGCTATAACTGAAAAGTACTATAGCTAATCACAAAAAAATTGCTCTTACATGTGCGAGGTTACCACATATTCTTGTTTGCATGTTTCCTAGGTGTTTCGGATCTTGTTTATGCCTTTATGGTGTGTCCAAAGATTGTCACATTGGGTAAAGATATCAAGGGTGTTATATTCCAGGCAGTTGAATATCACACATAGATGGTTCCAGGGTGATATACTGATATACATACATTTAAATGTGGATAGTGATTCAAGTTGCCTTAACGAGTCCATGTTACGGAACATTGCATCACAAATTGCTAACTAGAGAAAATTCAGCCTATAATAGCGAGTGATATCATTACCATCCAGTGATAAAGAAAGAAAAAAAAGGGCAGCCCCAGTGCATGTAGCTCCCGCTTGCGCAGGGTCTGGGGAAGGGTCCGACCACTTTGGGTCTATTGTACGCAGCCTTTCCCTACATTTCTGTAAGAGGCTGTTTCCAGGACTTGAACCCGTGACCTCATGGTCACAAGGCAGCAGCTTTACCACTGCGCTAAGGCTCCCCTTCTGATAAAGAAAGAAACGTGCAAAAAAAAACATTGCACCAAGTAAAACAGGAT